TCCCCAGCCAGCAAGGCTGGCTGGGGAATTCTGGGACTTACAGTCCACCCGTCTTATGGTTGCCAAGGTTGAGGAACCCTGTCCAAAATAGTTGAGTGAGGACTACCCTGGTTTGTGGACCAATGCCTATGGATTGTGATCACGGCATTGTGAAGATGAAAAAAATCACAAAGGGAACGTGAAACTGAAATGTCCTAAAAGAACACATGGCTGAAGAGGAGGTTTTTACTCTGCAGCACTTCATTTCTAAGGCCTACATGAACCTTGTCAGAAGGAGGTCTCATCTCAACAAGCCATTCTCAGGAACAAAGAATTATTCACACGCTCCATCTTTCTAGCTTTCCTAGAGATTAAATATCTGATTGGCTTCCTCTTCTCAATGATATCTCTGAATCTACTTTCTGCCCAGCATGTAGTAAAAGCAAGCATCTTTCTATCCAAATCTAGATGAATTTGTTTTTTCCCTCTGTAGCATTAAGGAAACTCAGATTCCGCCCCGCCCTCCCGGCAATCAACTATTCAAGAAATACAACAAGTTTTTAATTAAATGAAAGTTTTATTTCAGTATTCAAATTAGTCTCCTAACTGCTTGGGGAAAGGTGGACTGAGAGCACATGGAATGAAGCAAAGCCCCCTCCAAGACGGAAGTGGTCAAGAGAGAGAAGGGCGGGGGGGGGGGGAACAAGCATTCCTTGCCTTCACTCATGCATTCAAATGTTTACTATGACTAGAAGCCAACAGTGAAGGATAGAATTTCACTCATATGTAATCCCAGTTAATGCTATACATTTTAAATACACAATTCAGAAGTGTACATTATGTCATGCAGTCCTGTGATGGAATGACACCCTGGCCTGGTCTCCTGTTGTCTTCATGATGCTCAGAACACAGAGCTTAGGTAGGACAGAGAACTGGAAGAAGGGAAAGAAGGGGAAAAAAGGGAGAAAGGGAAAGAGAGGAAATTCAGTCTACAGAATCTTCAGTCAGATGAATTATGCTTTTACCGCTAAGAGCATAAACTTAATAAAAAAAATCATTAAAATGTTCCCAAGGATTAACTTGTCTAGTTGCAATGGCTGACTCTGCAAAAGACAATCACTGATGAGGACAATATATCTTCCACCTACTTTCCTTCAAATTAGTGCAAGGAAATTAGATTCATCCAGACCCAGCACCAGATGCACTAATTCAAGCAGCATGCACTACTGAGAAAATATGCACACCAGGATCCCTTGCACACACACAATAGTAGGCAGCTGAATTTGAGAATTCTTTTTATTGTTGTTGATCTCTCACAATGTCCCAATCATATATGGCTTTTTAAAAAAATCTAGTTTAACTTCAATATTCTCTCTCTAAGCCTAAACTTGGGTGAAACTGTTGCTCCTATTTCTATGAACGGCTACTACAAGCATTACCGATGAACTGGGAAGGCACAAGACCATCAACCCCTGCCTCCAAAAGCAAATTCAGGCTTTGAAACCTGACTCTCATTGTTAAAACCTGTTCAACAAAATGTACAGATTTAAAATATACATGCATTCATTTTATTGAATGCATGTGTATGCAGGGCAGTGTAATAAAAATCAGTGGAGGCCTGCAAGTCAATCTTGTTTCCCTAACAAATGGATGGCAAAGGTGGAGGGGAATCACAATAAAACTACACACCAGGGGAAAAAGAAACTCAGCAGGCTATTTATTGCTAAGCATCCTAACACGGGGGCTAGAAACTGAAGGATATGAGATACAGTCCAGGCTGAGAAAGACATTCATCGCAGCATCTTTTCTTTTGGCCTCTGTAGAAAAGGCTACACAGTCACTCCCAGGTACCTCCAGTGAAAGGATCAGATATCAGTTAAAAAAAAGATCTAAGACTTCTGAGTTGCAGAAGAATTTCTGCTGAATCGAGGAGGTAACCCTAGGCAAAACGGACCGGTCATCTGACTCAGCAGGAGGCTGCTTCTTCTGTTCCTACTGTTACCTTTTAAAATGTAGTCGGTCAGCAGCGTAGGGACTTTTTCGTTGTCTTCCTTCATTGCAAAGAGAACTGAGGAAAGAAGTTGGGGAGAAGATCATTACTGGGTCCTGTTGATGAGCCATTTTTTTCCCTCTTTGTAACCTGTCTAGGCACCCAGACATCAACCGTACCTCTGCCACATTTACCCTCGCCATCCACAATAGGTCCTTGTACCATGTGAGGCAAGGAGCAAGGTGTCACCCCACCAGTTCCAGGTATAGAAGCAAACCAGGTCTTGTATTCAGACCTGCTGCAACTTGGTTAAGGGCGATGTTCTGGCCTACATCATCTGAGGGGTAGAGGCTAATTTAGGGAATCCACAACAGTGGAACCCATAGCTCTGTCCTGCAACTGCAAACAAGCAGGAAATGTAGAATAGGCCTGCTCCTGTGGCATTATCTAGCCAAGGTGAGTACTCCACTTTACTGCTTCTCTTTTAAGATGATCTGAGTTATAGAGCTGCTGATCACACAGAAGGCCCTAGATGCATTCAAGCAAGCAGGAACACGTTTTACCCATTTTAGATCAAGACAGGGATGCTGGAGTTAGAGAGAGCTGGCACAGAAAGAGATAGGGAACAGGCCAGGGCGGGTTGCCCCATGTTTTGCACAGTTGTAGGTCTGTGTCGAACTGCATGCCTGCATAGAGTTAATGTGACAGTTACCAGACGTTGATTACTGAAAGCTATTAAAGCCTGTGCGGTAAAGAGATCTGATGATCCTATCAATGTTCTTAGCCCAATGGTGAAATTCAATCACTGGTGAAACATAACACAGCCTTTCCTGCTTTTGTACTTTTGTACTATGTTGGACTGCAAATACACTTTTGGCCATGCTGGTTGGGAATTCTGGTAGCAGCAGTCCCAGCAGATTAAATTTGGTTTTTAGAATAAGACTTGCATACTGAACTCAGTCCAGAATTAGGAAAGGCTACGTTTTCCTATGTCGAATGTTTAGCTGACTTCTTCTTCGTTCAGACCAAAGTGCCAGTCCAGACTGTCAAACAAGTTCCATGTTGCTACACAGACCTTAGCTGATTAAATATTTGAAAATGTGTATTGAAGTATGCACTTGGGGAGAGGGGCAAATAAAATTGGAGGATAAATGTTAAAATGGAATGTCCTGCTGGGCAACTATGTGCAAAAGGATTATGAACGTGAAATGAATTTAATCCATTTTTATCCAGAATGTGGGAAAACAATACATTCAGATCTGATACTAGACACATTACTTCATTAGCTGTTGGTGGTAGCTTGGATACAAGGTCCAATATTTTGAGGGACTGGTTGCTCTTTGAATCTTATTCAGGAACTTTTCTTCCAACTCAGTAACTGATCTCATCTAAGTATATCATATGTTTGCATCATAGTCTGAAGCAGCTTTGCATAGTTAATTAGACAAGAAAAAAAGAAAAAAAAATTATCCCTGGTAACTTTAGGCTTTGCCTCTAAACACAAATTGTCATTTGTATAAAACTCACTCTGTGCACAAATAGCCATTCATAGCTCTTTTCAAGAGAAGATGGTGTTTGTTCCAGTGAGTGCAAAACACAGTTGCCATAGAAACACAAAAGGAGACGGATGATTCTCCCAGAATGCACAAAGGCCCATCACAACATCTCAACCTTTTTATTTTTGTTCCACAAATCATTCAATCAGAGTTAGACAGGCTAAATCCTCTTGCTGGCAAATTTGGATGTTTATAAAATAGCTGTTGAAGTTATTAACTAATCTGTTGTTCTAGAACATATTGGGTTGGTTTGTACAATGATTTCTTAGAAATATGTTTTAAGAATTGCAATAAGAACTTAAAACAACAACTTGTCAGATCTAAAACAACAATATCTCAACCCAGACAATCTGTATATCACCCATATTAGCTCATTCTTGTGTTTTTGCACACATTCCAATGAATACACATAGAGGAGGAAGGGAAATTACATTCACTCCAACTGGCAACACTTAGATACCATTCAGAATTGTTCAGAATTTGGGCTAGAATGAATGAACAGCAGTGCTGGTACATCGTTCCTTAATTACTCACACTTGGCTTCTCCTGTCATCAGAAGCAACCAAATAACCCATAGAAATTCTCTCCTTGGTTTGGAATAGTCACAGACTACAGGAAAAATTATAGTTCTAAAGAGCAAGTACCGCCTTAACCCCAAAAAAGGGTACCTACCCGCCCCCCGGCATCTTGAATGTTTTTAGTATTTATGTACAGGGTTTGTTGTTTAGATTTGATTTTTAATGGTTTATTTTTTTTTCTTTTTT